CATGTCTAAAGGCGTGTCAGATGGCAATACGAACAGCAGAAGAGCCCCAGGCCAACAGGATCTGTTGTTCCAGAAGGAGCCCAGCTGTTTTACGCAGTCGCTGAAGCTGGCTGCCAAATCTCTTTACATGCAGATGATGCTGAGATCAGGAATGAGTCCCCACACAGTTGCCGTGGGTGTGAGTCAGGCGACTGTGGCTCAGGCATTTTTGTGTTTCTGATTTACCTAGAACCCAGGGCAGGATCATCCACTCCACGATGGTGGGAGGTGGTCCCTGCATGTGAAGGTCAGTCCTGACGATGTGCTGCGATGCCAGCAGGAGCATGAAGAGGAAGGTTAGGTAAGAGCCGGTGTGGCAGATAAACTTTATAAATGGCTTTTTAATGAACAGTCCCAGCCTGCTCTTCGGTGCAATCAGATATGCCACGGATAGCACAGGAAATAGCAGTCCAATGGTGACACAGGTCAAGAGTTTTACTGCCCAGTGTTTCCGCCTCCATCCTGGAAAACCGTCGTACCAAAGTGTTGCTAGTAGCTGCTGGCAGTTTGGCTGAGCAACAAACTGAGGAGAAAAAAAAAAAAAAGGAAGATTATTACTGACCGGTACCTCATGTGCACTCCCCCTCATATATGTGTTAGAGCCCACACAGACCCTCATATTAAGTTTGGGGCTCACTATCGGGTAGAAAAGCGTATTTTGGAGACAGGGGGAAGAAAGGAGGGAGATTTTGCTCTTATTTTTCTACGTAGGATTCTATGAAGTTTTTTTGGATTTGAAGCATCCTTATGCAGAACAATCACTCATCACACATGAAGCCTCATGCAAAAGTGATCCAACGAAAATTACTACGATTTTTTTTTTCTCTTCCTATGTGTTTATCCTTCAGTATGTTTCTTTTCAGAATGTTTCAGGTTTCGACTTGCCCAAACAAGTCACCGTCAGCATCTTTAAGAAGTGACTAAAAGATGAGACAGGAGGGAAAAGGTGTAAAGCTCTTGAGTGTGTGTGTGTGTGAGAGAGAGAGAGAGAGGGAGAGAGAATGTCTCCAGAAGTGTGTGGGGTGCTGCATGTGGTTCTGTGCAAGGAGGCCAGCATATGTGTGTGTGGGATGGGCTGGGCTTGAGACAGCAAGCAGCAATGTAAAGTTCAGCCAGGTGACATCTGTTGGGAAGCAGGACAGCACATTTGTAAATGTGCCTCGCTATTAAGGAAGAGAGCAGTTGTAAAATGTAAGAGATGAAGCAGAGGCAAAAAGAAATCTTTGATCACAGTACCAACAGTGACACTTGAAAGTTTACTTTCACTCTGCAAAAAATAGCATTACGATGGTGATTTATTGCATCTCGGTGACTCCATACCAGACATGCTCAGGTTGCAACTACTTCAGACTGTTCTAATACCTAACAGCCTTTGGAATTTCAAACTCAAGCCATGATATTTCTGGTCTATGCCAGAAGACTTTATGTTCCTGATTACACCCGGACAGCCCCACGGTTTTCAAAACTTTTCAGGCCCACGCTAAATAGAGATGCCTGCAAGACCAAGACAACTGTGGTTTTCTTTTTACATATTTGATTTCTAATCCATCTTAATGAAGTTATACTTCCGATCTACTAAATTCAGACTTCTCACTGGGCTCTGCAAGTTCAAAAGAAAATCGCAACTATTGTTCTGAGGACGCCTGTTATACTTACTTTGCTGTAATTAAACCTGAAAACCTGTCCTAGTGTGGATATGGTTATCAATAAACATACTCCTGTAGCAATATATCGATGATCGACACAGCTATATCAGAATCACTCTTAGGACACAGTAGTACTAGCAGCTTTTATCAAGGAGAAGAGATCTCTTATAAAGAAGACTCAAAGTGGTGAGTAACCTGAAGATGATGGTACTGTTTATTACACTTGGCTAGTCTGTATTTAAAAGGGATCTCTGGGAGGGATGTAGTGCCACAACGCTGCTCTTCCCCCTCACGGAAGATTTCTATCAGGCAAAGCACTCTTTCACCACTAATTTAAACAGCTCTTGGAAGGACTATGCTGTGGCAGCAAAGGGACCAGCACTAGTCTTACCATTTTGCCACCCCAAAGTGGTATGATTTTTCAACCCAGGCAGAAGCCCCTGGGTAGACGCTGCTGCACACAGTGTAGACATCGCCTGGGCTAATACTGAATCAGCCATCTCATGTGCATTTATGAGAGAGTGACAAGGCTCTTCTCATCATGTCTAAAGATACCTATGACTTCTCGTAGGTCTTAGTCACCAGGCGATCAGATTTGGTGTGAAAAAGCCAGTTTCTTAATAAAAGCTTTAGCACACACCCCTGTCTTTTAAATATTCGTTCGTCACCAAAACTGACTTTTTATACACAGTCCTTAGAGTGCTCTATACACTGCACTACCTCTGCCATGCTCAACATTACTAAACCAAGGTCAAACAAAAGGAAAAATTAGTTGCTCAGTCTGATAAAGTCATTAATTCCTGTAGGTGTTTTTAGATTTTGTGAATATATTTTATATGCTCTAACAGGCTGTTTATATCAGAATCAGACCATTTTTGGACTGGGTAGTTCAAATACGTGGACCGACCAAAATTAGTATTGAAAACAAGAGCTTCAAGAAGAGTATCTGGCATTTATGAAGCTGTATGTTTATGTGCTATTTCTATAACAAACATGACTGCTGCCATCTAACAAGTGACACCGTGCTCCAGAGGGCATCACAAAAGAAAATCAGAAACACATTCAGTTTGGAATCAACCTACACATGCGTGCAGCAGGAACTGGACAATAGTTGATATGGTGATGATCTCCAGAAAAAGCCAAGACCTGTTGCCTGTAATGATCAGAAAAATGTTATTGTAAAATTCCAAGTCTGGGGACAGCGACGAAAGAAACAATTCTACAGAAAGTGAAAAACCATCAAGCATCGATTGTTGTTTGGTTGGTTGCGCTTTAATCTGTCATTTCAGAAGGGTCAACGCATTATGTCTAAAAGCTAGAAGAAATGGAAAGTAACACTGCTGTATTTTCTCATTTAAGATCACAAACAGGAGCTGTGACCAGATGTGTTCAGCGGTAATTTACATGGTAATTGATGCTGCTGTTTCTCTGAGATGAGGCACAAAGTTTTTTTCTTTTTTTTTCTTTTTTTTTTTTTTTTGAGGGGGAAAAACGTATACACACATTTTCTCTTTATCACATATGATAGAAAGCTCTAAAGGGAGAATAAAACTGTTTTTCCCTTGAGTCAAAGTCATTTGAGAAATCAAATGACTATATGTTCCCCTGGTTGCTGTGCAACTTCCAAGCATCTTAAAAGTGCCTCTTTGCTGCCTAATAGCTCATTTCTAAAATCTGCTTTCTGTGTTGTATCTGATGTTAGTTCTTCAAATGGAGAGAAATTCACACATCATGAAAGAGCAGCTTTAAAGACCAGCTTGGCAAAAGGGAATGGAAACAGAAGAAGCCATTAAATTTTCCAAAGAAGCCCATCCCAACGTCACTGAAAATGGCCTAAAGGAAATCCAAGCACACCACAGAAAGAAACTCACCCTAATGTCAGAAACCATCAAATGCTGTCTTTATTCAAGGTAAGGCGAAGCACTGGTAGGCTTTTACTAACTCATATTAGTCCAACTTCTTAATCACAGATTTAAATTTAGTAAATACTGCAGCTTAGATCTCCAGTGCAAGGACTACAGCTGGCTGAAACCCAAAATTTCCAGTGTGCAGAAACACTGGAATTCTGAATTATAACGGAGAATTAAGCCCTTGGTGTGCTGCCTAAAGAACCAATTGTTTTCAGTAACTTTGTATTAACTTGAAAGAATACAGAAATGAGCCATTTCTCTAAGTAGTCCTTGGGAATGTTGGCCTCATCTTTGCTTCCAGGTGTTGTTACCTAGACTAAACCATCAAATTCATTACCTAGACTAAACCATTGAATGCTCAACTCATTAAAGATTGTCTAGGATTCATACTGCTAAATCAATGCACAGAAAATACAAAAACATGAAAAAGCTTAACTTTAGCCCTTTTAGGTGTGAAGTAGCCTGAAACTGCAATAATATCGTGGAACTTTTGTTATCAGCCATAATTTCAAATTTCTTCATAAAGTTAAGGAAACAATCTTATTTCTGCTTTGCAAACAGACAGAACTGAGATCCGGAAAAGCAAGTTGACTTCTCCAGCACTACTTATGCCAAGACCTTTCCTGAGTAGAAGTTCAATCTCCACCTAAGTAAGGTCCCAAATATGTTTTTTCACCTTTTTGCAAAGCCTTTCCTTTGCCATAGATAGAAATAGCACATGTGTATATCATAGTCTTTTCTCATTTTGCATGAACATACCGTGTGTGACAGGATTTGGTATCATGTAAAGTTTCTGCATGAAGAAAAGGAGGGATCGTGATCCTTTAAAAAACTGCGTATTGTCCCAGTTTTGTAGATGGTCCAGAATCAGAGGCAGATGCACTGTACCAGAAGCTCTCTATTTGTTTAAGAAGATGAGTGTATGACTTCCAAACAGTGTATTTCTCCAATACTAACAAGCACAGTATCAAGGATTTTTTTCAAGGACTGCTGCATTATAGGAGCCTCCAATCTCTATTACGAATGGCAGCACAAGACGTCATCCCACAGACATGATGGAGAATGTTCTGACAGCTGCTTTAATGAAAAGAAATGCTTCCAAAAGGCGGCATTTGCAGTCAGTTCAGCTAATGTATGAACTAAGCATTGAATGCTATGAAACCTGTGGTAACGCTGCCATAACATTGTCCAGGATTGTCCCTACCTGTAGACAAAGCCTGTAGATGCATTTCTAGGGGGAGGGAACCCAAAGAGCAAGCTCTTCCTCCATTACCTGTTGAGCAGAACCTGTCCCTCGCTGAAGATACAGTTCACCTAGTGACTACGAGACAAGATGCGACTCAGAGTACCTTCTTGTGAGGACAACACCACTGTGTCACCAGTGGACAAGATGCTCAGTCTCCTGGCTTCCGAATATGGGGTTATATTAACTTTGCATTTCCAAAAAGTGAGATCAGCAACTTCAACCATGGTTGGGAAGCACTTTGAAGGTAGAGACTATTGCAATACAAAGTCTTTTATGTTCTTTCTTTCTTCTTTCAGTCTTGCCAGGGTTCTTTGTGTAACATTTGGCTTGCAGCTGGATTGTGCTATTAGGGAATTTCATTTTCAATGTCCATCATACTCATTGTCACCTGATCCTCTACCAAGGGGAACATTTTTAAGGGAAAAAAGCAGCTGCTGGATAGAGCATCTTTTGTCATAATATCTAATCTTTACTGATATTTTTATGTCACCTAAATTCTACTTCTTGGGAATTAAATGCTTTCTGCATGCTGTGCCATTAATATAAATATCAAACACAGAAATTATGTTCCACCCCCCCTCCCCTTATCTATGGGGAAATCCCTTATCTCTCACAGTCATAAGTAATTTAGGATCAGACACAGATGGGCTGAGATGTGAATGCCTCGGGGAGCAACTGAAATAGCTCCCTGATAGACATCACAGGGGCTGAGCACAGTATC